GAATTAACTACGAAGAGGTTGAGCTTACATTGCTTCTTGACTCTCCAACTGACTGGTCTTATAAAGGATTCTCGAGGGCATCGGAGTCAAGTCATACGCTTTTAGACTTTTCATAATATGATTATTCTATGTAAGATTTGTCTTCAAGTAATCAATTTTGGTAATCGCGATCGGGGAAAAAGCAGCTCAACAAATATTAAAGAAGAAAGGTGATATGATCAAAGTCAAAGGGGACAAAAGTAGCGTTTATGAATTATATTTAGGGGTGTGATTGTTTTGATTATTTGGGAAAATTTATTCTTACCAAAGGTTTGTTTTCCAATGTAACAACGCAAAAATGGTACATAAACAATGTGTATCTAATAAATTTTAGTATGGATATGGCATGAAAGCGGGATATGATAGATATAAATGGACAAAATAGTACCAAAATTTATATAGAAAAACTTAATATGTCTATGTATAATTCGATTCATTTATATTCGGAACCAAAATCTCCAGTTGTTTGTTTTTGCATTAGAATGTTTGATTTTTTTTGGTCTAACAAGTTTTCATTCCATTTAAACCTTAAATAGAGTTTTGTAACGAGACAAGAGCTCGTTTTGCAATCGAATCTGCCAACATATTAGTAGATCGAGAAATGTAATTGATTAAAATACAGGAGAATTGAGCTATAAGTTCTCTGATGTCCTGCAAAAGATAGTTGAGCTCGTTATCATGCTCTTTCGAGTTTAAGAGATTCACCAATATTAGCGAGTCCAAGAAAAGACAGAGCTCAACTCTGCTCAACTCTAAGGCTGATTGTAAAGCTGCCCCTATTGCATCTGCCTCTGCAGCTAAGGCCGACGGAACGTGACGTAGTCCATCCGAGAAACTCTCCATATCATTAGCATATTGAACTTGAGCTTGACTCCCACGTTGCATCCACAAAAACTTTGAAAGTATTAACCGTAGACTGTATGTGGCCGGGATCCTTGCGTTGTGTGTGCTCAGTCTGATGGAGTTGTGACTGTGCCTCTTGCCAAGCTTTAGCTTCTAGCACTGCCTTTGTAACTGTATCTGAAGTAGAGAACACTCTGTTGTTGAAAACAAATTGGTGCCATCCAAATATTCCAGCAAATCCATGGATAAAACTCTCCTCTGCTTAGTCCGGTTGGCGGTAGATTTGGCTTTCCTTTAGCCGATTGAAGAAGATTACCAAGAGAGGTACAGTTTTGATGTACATTAAAATTGATCGGAGCTAGCTGCCAAGTCGATATCGCAAACTCACAGTTCAAAAGCAAGTGATCTATTGTCTCATGTTGACCACATCTTTTACACATCTCTGCACCGGTTAAGCCTCGTGACGCAAGTTGTGCTCCAACTGCCAAAGCACTAGTCTTTGCTTTCTAGAGAAAAGTTTTTACCTTTGGTGATGCTTTCACTCCCCAAATTAGTTGCCGCCAGTTGAAATTTTCCACAGGTTCATGCGATTCAATAGAAGCAATAAGTCCGTACTCGGATTTTGTTGTGTACTGCCCTGTTTTAACCAGGAGCCAAACTCTTTTGTCCTCCTCTCTTAGCTTCTTGATCCTTAGCCATCGTATTTGATCCTCATACTGAGATAAAATTCTTCTTATAGTCTCCCAATTCCAGGTATTAGAAAATGGGTTAATGAGATCCGCCACTAACAAATGTTGGTGCTCTTTCTTTGGGGGCCCAATGATTCGGGTAGGTTGAAGAGTAGAGATCCAAGGGTCTTTCCATACGTTAATCTTTTGACCATTACCAACAACCCAGATCATGCCTTTCTCAAGGACTTTGCGACCCACCATGAAA